ACTACTACTACTACTACTACCAAGCTCGCGGAAGATGTGCTGATCAAACAAATCCAGAGATTGAACGATTCTCGCAGTTCCCACATGTCGTTTGCACGTACAGGTGCTGGAACTGGTCACAGGACCGGTCAACCTGGAGAGCGTGAGCAGTCGCTAGTCGGTCCCGGTAATTCGTCGGTCCTCACAAAATGCTCCGAAAACCCTAAAATCTTCCAAGCGCCTGCCGAAGAAGTGTGCGGATTTGCTGTTTGACTGTTTCTTCTTTGACATTCATGCCCATTTTGGTCGTGGCCGGAATTGCATGCACTCACTCAGGGTCGCAAGGCTGTGAAGGTCAAGGTCAAAAGGGAATGCTGAGGCTACAGGTCGGTTAAAGGGACACCGCTGTGCCATCTCCGACATTTCTGACATGTGCAAGGTTGACGACGTTGTGAGCGATCGCGTGCGCCGCAGAGAGAACAGTGACATAACAGTTTGCATGCGTCAGGTGTCGAAAGGAATTGATGATTATGTCCGCAATTTGCTCCGTTCAGTTCACCTGCCAAGGTAGGGAGATTCATCACTGACCCTGAGGACCCTGTATGGAATAGTGTTACTATGAATACGATGAGCACCCGATTTACTACTGCTATAGTGCTAATATAAGCACCCATTACCACTCGTATTTCTGTTGGCACTTCTACGGCAGTGCGAACATGTCTATCTGTGTGAGCATGTGTCACGGTGCGTGCTCATGGAGCGTTCCAATTTACATGTACCTGTACATAATCTACACGACCTACTTGTACTGTCTATTGGTATGCACAAAAGGCAGAACCTTCTGTATGTGCGATGAGGTGTAACATCTCACTTCCTTCCAGGTCGCAACTGCAGCTCGGTCTTAGTGCACCTACATCGAACGACATGGAGAGCCTTGAGCGTCGCGGGAGACACCAAACCTGAAGCTCAAAAGCAAGACAAAAAGCTAAAACAAACTTCGATGTGACGCCGATGCTTTGCAACCGACCATCCACGAGAGTTCGGTCACCAGCAGTCTCAACGGTGTCAACTCCTTTCTCGAAGTCTTTGTACCTGCTCAGAGCTGCATACAACTGCTGACACCAGCTAGAAGACGTCAGCAGTTTTCTTGTGCGGCACAGCAAGAACATCAAGCCTTTATATTCAACTTTATGCCTTCCGAAACCAATGCAGCGGAGGTCACGAGTTCACGAGATTAGCTGTAGCTTGCACTGCAAGCAAGGAGACCACCAGCGCGAACACGGTCTGCAGCCACGCAATATGGGACAAGACAAACAATGACGTTTGAAACTAAGTGCAGCAAACATAGCTGGCACAGGAGCGGCGTGCCGTGTAGCCCGGAAGCGCTATGTGGTGAATGCATCGAAGCGCTGCAAGAAGGACAAGGTAGGGCCCAATGATCCCAGCGAAACTCCAAGGCCTGTGCGCAGGAAAGGCAACCGCCGCAAGAAAGTCCACAACAAGTTTCACTGAAGTACCTACCCTCAGTCTTATGCGCAAAGAAGCATTGAAATGCAATCTGCCTTAAGGCCGTAATCAAGCCTTGCAGGAACGATGGACGCCCGGGCATGTCCTGCCAGTTTGGTTCAGCTGCTGTATGTCGTGCCAGAATGGCAAATGAGAAGGCTTTGATTAGTTGAAACGTCAACCGGTCTATTCTTGGACCTGCTCCTTCGTAACTTCAAGCTTCTATTGCCTGACGTACTGGAGCCTCACGAGAAACTAAAGTGCCCGAGCACAGGATCCAACTTGCCGGCACTGCATTTCCGAACTGAGCCTGTAAAGGTCAAGTCTGTGGTTCACGTCTGTGGTGCACCCTTCGATCTAACAACATTCTGGCTTGTGATTCAGTGAAGTCTTGTTTGTCAGACTTATAGGACCCGGCATCACAGTCTCACCCTGCTGGTCGACACCTCCTGACCTGTTCAGACGAACAGACCTCCAACCTTGCAGAGGTGTTGTTGAATCGAACCTTTCACGGGGGCCGTAGACAAACTTCTCTAATCAAAGGTCGGCCAACACGTGCCGTCAGTCGAGCCATGATGCAGTCGCGCTCCTGTGTTTCGTACTTCGCCATCTGCTGAAATATTGTCAGCGCACCAACAATAGACACATTCTTCAGAATGTGAACCGTCCGGTTTCGCTTCTCGGCGGAGCAGTTCACGTCCCAGAACGGAACTGGATCCAGGTTCCAATACAACACTCCCTGACGGTTTATCCACCACGTCCACGTAATCGTGCCCATGAAAACTAACATCATCGATGTTCCTGCTCAGACGGGTGTCATAAAGTTGTAGATTCGACGGTGCAGGGTGATGAGACGCTAGACAATAGAAACAATCACGAAGCTGACCCAACAAAATAGCCCAGCTCTTCATGGTTGAACAATAGTATAAGACCAACCCTAACTATCGTTTCAATTGAAGATTGGCACGCGCCTTTGGTAAGAGCCGTCCGGCCGGCAGTGTCGAAACCAGATATCAGCACGAAGACCGCACCGAAAAGTCCAAAGATAATGTGGACAAGATGCAAACTAACCGCAAACTCCTTGGCTGAGCGGCGGTTCTTAATCCATCGAGCATCGCCCCCGAGAAACAGCCTATTGATTGCCACTGCCTGCAACAATCCGAACAAGGCTCCACCCTACCACCCCGATCCCCGAAAACACGGCTTCTCCGGCACCCTGCTGTCAGTCACGTCTCCCTTGGAAGCGGAGCCACCGCAGGGGAGACCATGTGATCCACTTCAAACTCAAAGTGGATGGCATGCATGATGTTTTCGGTCACGAAAATTCCGACAAAGCCAAGCCTGGCCAAGAAATCCTGTGCCAACAGGAATGCCACATTCTCTACACTAGCAGAAAAGGAAACAAAGACCGTGCAAAGCTAAGTGGTCTGACTGAAACCGCAGAAGTCCTTGATACTTCTGTTTCTTAGCAGTGACGCCAGGTGAACGGCTGGAACATCGATCGGCTTTTCAGTCACATCCTTGCAAATTTACCCCGATGTCAGCAAGCCGGTATCAACATTTAATGAAAGCTTACAAGAACCAGGAAATTTGGAAGAGCAGAAAACATGTGCATTTCTCGCGCGGAAGAAATATTCTGGCTCCTCGGCTGCATGCACTGGCGAAGGTAAAGGTGTGGCCGCCCGCTGCCTCACGCCAGTTCGTTGGCGCATCGAGCAAGATAGGATGCTGCGTGAATGATCCGAAATGCTGGTTTGAAACCAAATAAGATGAAGAGTCGGTGACGGCAGAGATGCCACCTGTCAGCTGAAACAAGTACTACGGGTTCCCGCAGGCCCAAGCCCCTCTTTCGTTGTAGCAACTAACCCCACTTCCTTTCTAAACATGCATACATGAAACAACTTGTTCGGGCTGTCTCCAATGGTTCTAAGCTCGCTGAGCTCAATGCTTTTGATCCGAAATGGTCTAGAGGCAAGCTTTTTCGCACAACATTGCACTGTTATCCAAACATTGCGTTTCCAGAAGCCATGTAAGAAAGTGAAAAATTTTTCAAGCTTCAAACATCACCTTAAGACATCCTTACCGCCGCTCTCAAATCTCGTCTGGTTTTGACAGCACACTGTCGGACTAGTTTTGTTAGGGAAACCTTGCACTCAGAAAGACTTGTGCAAGTAGACTTGAAAAAAGAGAAACGATCTCTTGGCGGCCTTGCTTTGGATCCTCTGCCCAGGAGGCCTTGCTCGTGATGATACTTTTGCTCTCATGCGTCGGCGCCAGCAAAAGTTGCAGAAAGCTGCACAAGCAACTTTGAAACTTTGCGTCGCCAAGCGGGAAAAGCTTGGCCTCCAGATGCAAGACCTTTTCAGCAAATCTAAGGCTAGAAAGGCTTGGAAGCATTAGGCCAGTATCGTCCAACCAACAACGTCAGCCAAGTTCCACCTTGCGATGCTTCTTTGCTTTACTGAACAGTCGACCTATCTGGTTTCTTTGCTGTGCTGCGGGCACAGCCTTAACACGGCATCCGAGGTCACAGCCGTGTCCGTGCGCAAGCGCTAGAGACCAGTATCATCGCATGGACCTCGACAGAGCTTTTTGCCATGATTGCCAGCTAGATTGCCATTGTAGCCAGAAGGGTTGCCAGCTTCATTCTGTGGAAGACAGGCAGCAGCTCAAGCGCAAACAGGAACTTGTTCAAGTCTGTTGGGCCAGCTTGGTATTTTTTGGCCCAAACCTCTTGGTGGCGTCTCGGAAATGTGAAAGAACTTCTTCACCAGAATCTTTCAACGTAACAGAAAGTCAGACGGGTCCAGAGAAAACCGCAGACCGGCGAAACCAAAGCTACAAGTCCAAAACCAGCAAAGTTGCGGAAGATGTCGGCACATCCATTGAGCCAGCAAGCTGAGCCAGCACCAGAAATGTTGAACCCGCAAGCCAAGCAGGCAGCTCGGAAATCTGTTGTGCAACAGAGAGCGCCCGCGCTCGAAGCAGCTTCGGAGCGCGCCATGTGACACCGTGCGCCCTCTTTGCAAGCATTCCAGAGCGTCTAAGATTTCCGAGTCCTGCGGCTCCCCAACATCGACACACCTTCTAAGGTTCGAATTCTTTGAAAAAACCCAAGACAAGCTTTGTCTGTTTGGCTTTTTATCTTAGTTGTCTTGCCTGTCTCGCTTTCCGGCTGCACAGCAGATAGAGTCTTGTGTAGTTGTTTTTCTGAGCTCTCGCGCCAGAGTGCTGTTCTGTCCTGATTTGTTGGGCGTCACCCACACCTCTCAATGCATAAATCTGCACATCTCGACAAACCATTTTCCAAAGCAGCCTGCCACAAGCCAGCAACCTATTTCACACAACCAGCCCCGGAGGAACGCTATCAATCTGTTTGGACAGATGTTGCAAACCCAGAATGAGGCGTGCTCAAGGCAAGATAGCGCAGCTCACCGTGATTTCCAGGCTCGGAGATGTGTTGAGCCAGCCCTGGCAGCTCGGAAATGTCAAATCCAGGAGAGCCAGCAGGGGTTCAGTGCCCTTACAGCAGCAAGTACATGCGTTCCACTGAGAACATTGTACTTCATTTTCCTGTTGTGTGTGAACAATTGATTGCAAGGCGTTCACTTGTATTCTCTTTTCGTCGTTTTCCACGTGAAGAAAAACGTTTTTTTTGATTTTGGTGTCTGTTGCGTGTACTTGGTCTCTTTTTTTTTCCTTACTTAGCTTTGTTTCCTAATTTGCCAAATTCCTGATTTGCAATTTGCTTCTCATCTCGCCTTGTGTGTGCGTCTCTCCGGCAGAGGTCGAAAAAAAAGCACCCAAGGTCCAGAAAAAGATGTCTCGGGGTTCGAAAAAGATCCGAGGTTC